ATTGAAAATTTATGGTCATTTCAAGTTCGAAAAGTAATAAAAGAGATCAAATTAAGACTTATTTTTTGATGGAGAATTAATAACTTTGGGGAATGCACATGAAACCTAATTATGGAGTGAAAGGATTAAAGTATTTGTTTCTTAGTTTTGGTAACTGACCTGAAGGTTAACATCAATTTGCTTTTAACTCTCACAAGTTTTACTAAAAGCTATAGGTGGTAGATTTGACAAAAAATATATTAGCTCAGTGCACACTTGGATATTAATATTAAATGTTCATTAAAAGTTATAAACAACCATTTATTAAAGTATTTACTTCTCTTTTTTTACCACTTGTAATATTCTTTTGACATGACAGCAGGATAAAATTGAAAATGTAGAATTTCAAGAGATGCACACCACCTTGTGAGAGAATACTGAACTCATAGAAGTGAAAACCTTTCATCATTGGAAGACAGTCTTACAAAATTAAAGTGTTGAAATTCAAACAAGTAGTACAATCAAATCACCACAAAGGTCAAAATATATTAGACTCTGACAATAATATATCTTGGAATGGAGTGGTTTTCTTCAGCTTACTTGCATTTTTTGTCTTATGTTTGAGTGGTAGCAAAGATTTATCATATCACCTGTTTTGTAATAAATGTATGGTAAGATACAAGTATATATTTTTAGTTTAGCTCTACAGATGTTGTATTAACAATCTACATCTATTTAAGAAAGTATGAAATGTTAATATTGGTTATAAAAGAACAAAAAATGTTAACTTATGAAACATCAGCTTTAGCTTATTTTCCCAAGTAGATGATTTATTCTGATGGTTACATTTTCTCTGAAATGAATTTCAGTTAATATTGGAAATTTATTTTCCATAATCTATGACTCTTATCAAAAGTGGGCTGGGTGTGGCCTGATAGTTAGCATGTTGAATTACACTGAAGATCTGTGTTTTGAGACTAGATGCCATTGACCACACTGCAAATTCAGGTGTAGGTATATTGTAAAAGTGTTCATTACCTTTACATGGTTTATAGGATTGTATAAGAACCTTTATGTCAGTTGGTGCTGCTAACTGGCTGCCTTTTCTTTGGTTATTAGTTCAAAATTTGGGGCCCCCTAGTGGCACAGCGGTATGTCTGCGAACTTACAATGCTAGAAACTGGGTTTTGATACCCGTGGTGGGCAGAGCGTAGATAGCCCATTGTGTAGCTTTGTGTATAATTACAAACAAACAAAATTTGGGACATCTTTATCAGGATTTTAGTAGTGGTATCTGATCTATCCTCTTAGCTTGATTGCATATTAGTATCATTTACATTGAAAGGTCAAGTTCTCATCAAGAGAAAATCTCTGAAACAGTGAAATAAAAGTACCCACTTTGAGATATACTATGATTGATGATTTCTTTTGTTAAACTGAAGAACAGTTTTGCTCACACTTTTAGCCTAAATTAACTTTAAAAACACTCACCATTAGTTACAAGATTCCATCATTATCAAGATTATTCATGATTCTAAAAGTACTATAAATGATGTGTAGAGACTAACCTGAATGGACTTGTCAGTAAGTCTAATGTATACTATTATTGTGAATTTATGAATTCTGATATGAGTTGTAGCTGAGAGATCTGAACCATGCACACTGCTCAATCTGTAATCAGTTATAGAGATGAGTGGTGAGTGCTTAACTGGATTAAACTTGCTTAGATAAGCATGGCAACCTGTTTAATGTTGAGCAAATTGGGTTAGTTCAAAAGACTAGATTTCATGAAGATTTACATGAATTTATGTAGTTAAATTCATGTAAACCTTACTGAGAAATGTTTAAATTTTTTATTACAATTTTTCATTTATTTTCCTAATAAGTTTTTAATTTTTACACTTTAGTTATTTTATTTTTATATATAAATTAAAAAAGTGTACTGCATAGAAATTTAATACATTTGGCTAGTTCTTCTTTTGCTGTACTACAGCTACTCTTATAAATGTGTAGTTTATGTTAAACTCAAGACATCACATAAGGGTTGTTAAAAACTAGAAAATGCACAATTTGTAGCAAACAAAATATCACTTAATACAGAGTGAAATTTTAGAATGTTTCATCATATCCTGTTGAAATTGAGTAATTAAAACTTGCATGCTTTTAAAATTTAACTTATAAACTATGTCTTGATGCCAGGTTCATTGACATACATTAAGAATAAAGTAGTCTAATTAAATTTTGAATATAACTAAAACATCATGATATGAGTACTTTTACTTACCCATATTGAGAGGGTTAATTAAACCTACTAACCCAGCATATTGTCGAGTAGTTTTTAATGTGAAACAATAATCTTTTAGCTGCCTAAAGTGTCTTAAAATATATCTATGGAGTATGATGGAAGTGAACAGCTTATTTGTTTGGCTCATATGACCTTCAGTAAAAGATATTTATTGTTCTAGACCTCCTTGTAGTCCAGAAGAAGAGGCAAATGGCACTTTAAGGGCTTAGTAGAACCTTATTTGTTGAGTGTATACCCAGTGTGTTAATTTCATTTCTTTATGATTGACACTGTATGAGATATATAGGTTGTTTTTGAAGTTTTGATAGGACAGGATGTTTTCAATAAAATGTTTGACTCAAATTTCCAAAATTTGCTTTAAAGGTCTAGATAATTATAATTCAACATAAGTACAGAACCATAAATATATAGTGAACAATATTTTTAACCAGAACTTGCCTACTTCTGCAGATTGGTCCCATGAGAGGAAGCATGTATGATAAACTCGGCAGTCTGTGGAGTTAACTTTGTAAAAGTTGACTGAAATGACTCACATTTGCCAGAATGTTCACTAAAAAATTGTTCAGAAATTAGTTCACTTTTTCATGTACTACAATATGTTTTTTCAAGGTTGGGTTCTCCATAACTTTTTAAGCCACCCCACCCCCCAACTAAAATCCTAGATATTCCAAGGTGGTGAAGAACCCACACCCTTGATCCTTCTTGAATATGTTGCATACTACTGCCTGGGACATATGGATGTCTTTGTCACTAACCTTTGTGTTTGCAGATTTTCATTTTACAAGTTGCTACACTTATCACTGCTAGTATAACATTTGTAGCAGGTCTCTTTCTTGATAGTCTTGATTCCCCAAGTTGATTCATACTCCTTTGTTTTCCAAAGGCCATAAATACAAGGGATATTTCTGTCTTGGAAATTCTAAATCCTCATTGTGTACACATCTTTATGGACTAAGTGTATAGATATTTTACTTGGGAAAGGGCTGTTGCATACCCTTCCCAAATGTGATCAGTTTTTAGGTGGCATCACACTATGAGCACGGATAGCCCATTGTGTAACTTTGTGCTTAACTTCAAACAAACAAACATCACACTATATACGATACTGCAAACGATGTCCAAGTGTAATTTTGATATTCATGCTGTTCCACTACAACTTTATGTTGGGTCAGGTTGTCACCTGACTTGCTGATTTGCTTATTCAAAATCATTTTTAATATAACCTACTCAACACTGTATAATAAAATGCTTAAAATTAAGATAAGTGGTCTGTGAATGAATAGAATAAAAAAGGTCTAAACAAGATTGAGATTAGAGCAATGATTTGCTAATTACTCCAAGAATAGTCAACATTTGTTAAGAGTACCAAGATGTTTAGTGATGTATCCATTGGGGTGCTGTAAAATCATAATTACACACTTGTAGAAAATATGGATCTCAGAATCCTGCAATAGGGTTCAAAATAATTTTTATGTTAGTCGTGTTTATTCACAGTGCAAAAGAATGCATTCATAATGTTCTGTGGGAACTATAAAAATGGGGAATCAATGCAAAATAAAGTAGGAGTCATCCAATTTTGGAGGCTCATATTTGTCATTTATGTGGTATTTCTCTCTGATTTTTGGTGTTGTGCAATATGAAAGTATGAAGTTATACAGTCTAATTGCAAAAATTATTCTGGTACATTTAACAAAAATTTCCCAAAGGTTAAAAGTATACCAAAAGTAAGCTAAGATTGGCAACAAAATGACATCAATTGTTTTTTTTTTATGTTTTTGATTGCTTTGGAAATGACTAATAAAATCATGTTGACCACGGGAGTTGGCAACTCCAATGATACTTTATGGGATCAGCAGACATAAGGCCACTGTATCATACTATTAATTTTGTCATATCATAGGTAAGAGTATCTTGAATTTGGAGCACTTTTGTCATGTTTAACTACTTGTTGAACTGAAAAGCTGTTCTTAGTGGTACTTGCTGTTGGTCATTCTGAAAATTAAACCAAATAAATTAAAATCTGAAGCCATCAGTTGACACTTTACAGGCACTGTAAATTCTTAGAAATTAAAATAAAACAAAATCAGTGATACATATTTTCTTTTGAAAAAAAAACTTTAGGCAAGGGTCCAACGGGTCAGGGAATGTTTAATTTTAAAAAAATTGGAAAATTTTATGTGACTAGTCAGGGAAAGTTCAGTATGGAAGAAAGTGTGTGTGTGCAAATATCTTCAGTATATAATCTACATAGCTTTATCCATATGAATCTAGACTTCATTCCAAATATTAGAAACAAAAACTAATGTAGGCATACTAAACTGTTAGACAAGATTCAAACTAATCTAAGTATAACATTAATTTACATTATTAGCATTAACACATCCCATATAGTAGATTTGTGAAATTAAAACATTTCACTATCTAAAACAATCCAACTTCTCATGTAATTAATCTGCTTTGTGTCTGATATGTTAACCATTTAAGTGAGTCTCTTATTCTCCACAAACCCAGCATGTTCTGTAAATAAGATCTGACATAGGTTGGCTGTAGGGGGAGGTGGAATCTAGGTTTTATTGTAAAATTCTGTTTTATTTAAGAAAACATATATATGCACACATTTGTATGAAATGACCCAGAATTTCTCTAAATTAGCATAAAGATTTTGGTCAGAGCTTTTTTCCAAAATTTTGAATTTTAAGTTTACATATCAATAAATTCCATTGTTAAAGAAAGTTTTATGTCTTTTTAGTTACCTTCACAAAAGACTATATGGTTTTTACGTCCTTACTGTAATCTACTGGCAACAACAAACAAGTAAGTAAGTTTGTTCATGCTGTTTCATCAAAGATAATATATTTAAATGATAAAATTGGCATAGCTTTTGACTCATTGAATGATTTATATTCTTGGATAGATGTAGCAACTGTATATTCATAACTTATATAAGAACAAGACTGGAACAAAGATGTGTTTCTTTTTTTTACTTAGTAAATGAAGAAAAAATGAATCTTACATTAGGAATTCTGAAATTCAAAAAATATATTGTTCAATTTTAATTGCCTGGTGAAAGTTTGTTAGAAATATAAATTATCATGTGCAGTTTTAAAACATAACAATTTTTTTCTCTGAGAGCAAGCTGCATTTGTGTGATAGCTAGGATTATCTAAAACAAATTGTTTGTACTAAATGTTTTCATTACAATTGAAAAAACCACAAAACATTTTTTGTTGACAGTTCTAAATGTCATAGCTTGGTATATTTTCATTGCACTTCAATTAGTGTTGTAATACTTTACCATGTAGACATTACCTATAGAATGATCACTGTAAGTAAATCAGCAAATTAACTTCACTGTCATACCACTAATGTAGCCCACAGCTCTCACTAATTGTAAGTGACTTATGGTAATTTGAGGATCTTTAATCCATATTTTAGACCTGAGGCTTCAACCTGTTATCCTCCTCCCTCTTTTTGGTTATTTAGGGAATTATTAAATCATTAATCTTATTGAATATTAATTAACATTGGATATTAACTTTTTTAACTGACTTTGTAGGCTTGCATTAATATGATTTATTCTCTACTTCTATAAGAATGTAGATTAATACTTCATAAAGTAGCTCTGACATTTCAAAAACCCCTGTGAGTGGTGCTTCTAATATTGCTTTTTATAATTTGAAATATGTTGCAAACACTGATGTGTGATCATCATGCATAAAAATAGATACAAGCAACAGCATGCTGTTGACACAAAGAACCAAACCAACCACTATCACACACATGATTAGATGTAAGCTATGACTTAGCTTGATTGGATGGTACTGTATACCATGCACAACCTATATTGTGCATATCAGTGCAAGTGTACCTGTACCATGTACTTTTATAGCCTTGTGTTTGCATTTTCCAAGATTAATTTTTACAACATTTTATTCATTTTATGCTTGTTCAGCCATATGTTCTTTGCACCAGTCTCATTTCTGTTTACTGTAATTTAGAATTTACCAAGTTTATCTTCATAAAATTTATGAAGCTTTTTGTAAACATTGCAAGTCTGTTTTACACAAAAGATCAGATTTTTTTACTAAAATATTTTCATTGTGACATTATGAAGCCTTTACTTTTGGTGATTTTCATGTTAAGAATAAAAATTCTTTTTTTTTTATTCTACAGTTTTCATATTTCATGTGCATATCTCTAAGATCTCCTAAAATGAATATCAAAAGTTTATTTTATCTTTTTTCTCTGTATCCTAATACTAACTTTAGGAAAATAAGCTGCAGTAAAAGTTTAAAATATAAAATCAAAATATGTTTTTTTTTTCCTAGAATGACTGCAGATTGTAACAGACAACTACAATCATATATCCTAAAGAGAATTAGGCATCTAACAGTTTCACATGGGCTTTCATATAACTTTATTGTTTTACTGCTGTTTGAACCATGTATAACTAGTGTAATGAGTCATTAAATTAGTCACTGAGAGAGTAAGGTAAATGAACTACTGAGTTACGTCAAATCTGACTCTGTGACAGTTACATCAGGTGAGGACAGTCCACATGCATTCCTTGAGGAGAGATTTTATTTAGGTTTTTGTATCTAATCTAATAAGTTTCTAATGTTTACATTTTAGTTACTTTTGTTAAAAAATATTTAATGATAAATATATATAAACCAAGAAAGTTACCACCTACTTTAGCCTTGAGACCATTTGTTCTGGGATGTTATGGTTTAGTAAGCCTACTTTTTTCTTGCTCTGTTGATTGATCAATATAATTCATGTAGTTTTCCAATATGCATCTTAGAACACACACACACACAAAGACTATATTAGAACATACAAAAAACTTCTGTAATTTATCTGGCTTTCTAAATAACATAAATAGGTCAGAAGAATCTAGTAATTGGAACAGTATCTTTAGTCCAAAGACATGCAGCTCTCATGGCAAATTATTGGCTTTTACTGATAAAAAAAAAACTTGTGCTATTTATATATTGTAGAATTTGCCTTTTCTGTTGGTTATAAACATGTCCAGTAGCAGTGTTGGAGAGAATTAGAGAGAAATATAGGAGGGCATGTCATGTGGATGTGAAAAAATTCAGTAAAGTAAGAAAATTGGATGTTGAAATTTTTGATATTCTAGGTTTTCAATATCTGTAGTATGTATATTTAATTTGTGGGACACTGAAAGGCATTAAGTGGGAGAAAGGAGAACTTAAAACATCAAATGACACAGAGCCCAAGATTGAAAATTTATTTAAATATTTCTTTTTGAAATTAAGAAGTTAAAATTTAGGTCATATAACAGTTTGAACTATGTTTTATGTCAAAATTATTGACATACATTGATAACAAATTTTAAATGTGACTGTAAAAGGTCATGACATGCACACTTTGACACAGCCATACATGGAGGGTTGATGTGTGTGTGTATGTGTGCATATATATATATAATGTGTGTGTGTGTTTCATGCACTGTATGCTGAGGATGGAAGGCGAAATACTACTTAGTATTTGTGCTGCATTATGGAAAATGTAGGTTCAAATTTTCTGGTATAATATCTGTTATATGGTGGTTTCTCTTTCCATATTTCTTGTAATGCATCTGTCATTTCTGTTGAACTACAAAACATAAGAAAGAATTACATTAGATAATTGACAGACTGGAAAAGGATCATCGATAATCTTGTTCTGTCAGGAATTTCTCATCCTAAACTTTATTTGCATAAGAGAATTATTACTTAATGGTATATGGACATTAAGGAATAAGTGTGCATATGAAATTACTGGGGTAATGCTCTAACCTGATGTTAGAGAAATATTAAAGTTTGTTTCTCATATTTTGTAGAATGTAAAAAAAATTCTGTACAATAGGTTCTTAGAAATATCTCTTGAGTAGTAACTGGAAGACAAAACCTTGTAAACATTTAGAAAAAATTCACATGAATTTCTTAATATTGACTTTTGAAACAATACAAACTTTTCTGTGTTTTTAATTGACTTTGAATTTTAAGTTTTTTTTGTTTCATAATACAATTTGCTGGTCCAAATGCTACTGAGAAGTACACTTTATTTTTTTGGATTTCATCCACTTAAAATATTTACTGTAAAGTTTTAATAGCTTTAACATATGTTGAACAAATCAACCCCTTATGTTGAAAGAATCTTATTTGTTTTAGATTTTTAGGAACAAAGTAAATTGTATAATGTTCTAGTTAACTTTTGTAATTTTAGCATAGTGAGTAGGTATGAATAGTTAATATAAATGCTAGTCTGAAACAGGCCTTACTTTGTTTGTATAAAAGGAAGCAGAAAAGGTACAAGATGTGTAAATTCTAAAACAAGCTCTTATTAATTTGATAGATTGTTTAGGCGGAATATTCATGATGATTTAAACTGGAATGCCATCCATTACAGTTAAATCCAGCTTCTTGATTAAATTTGAAGTGGTCAGGAGGGATATGTTTTTGGAAATGTGGTTGTCTGTACAATATTTTGTGGTTGTGAATATGCACTAAGTTTTGAAAATGTGGCTTCTTTTTACATAATTTACACTTTATAAAATGATAAAATGTTATTAAGCATTTTTAGAATAATATATTAAACATAGAAGTTCAAATCTGGAACAAATGTATTTTCATTATTTCATATAAAAACCATTTCGTAATGTAATTTTCCAAGATTTGAAACCTGTTAATGCATAAAAATGAAATATATCAAAATTAAGATCTTTTTCTGAAACTACATACCTTTAATAAAGTTTCTGTCAAGTTTCAAATAATTCATCTTCTAGTTTTAATTTTGCAACAAAACATGACCAGAACTACATAATCTACTTCAAAATGGAATTAGCCAGGTCTGGTAGGGTTAACAAATTGAATCACACACACACATACAAAAAGTAAATAAGATTATCATTGTTGTAATTATTCCCACTAGTTATTGCTTGTGTCCCTATGTATTCTGTATAGAAAATGAGAATTTTTTCACAAAATGTTTTTTTTGGTCAGTTCTTTACACTGAGTGCTAGAAATATAAAGTTACTCAATATGATGCAGTATGTGTATTCCAACAGTAGTAAATGATATGAAAACAAATATGTAATTTGAGGGTTAACAATATTTTTGATATTGTGTAATATTATTATTGTATTTAAAAAAATTTGTTGAAGTGATTGGGGTTTTTTGGTTCTTTATTTTCTACACTTCACTAAATTTTTAACTCGGTATATTTACACGATACAATTAAAGCTTTAAAAGTGGTTGGATATTTCAAAATTATGATTTTCTTTTTTAAGTTCTATCCTTTTAAAGGCAGTGAGTGACAGAGTCTTCAAGTTGATTATCGAAATGTCAGATGTTGGTGTAAATAGTGAAATGGATGAAGAAAGTGAACAGGAAGACTCTTCAGATAAGTTTGAAGAACAGTTGGAATGTGATCAAAATTTGCCAGCATTGTTGGTAAGAATTTACTTTTTATCTTGGGTTTGTAGGCTTGTTAGATGTAATTTAGTGTTTCATTAATTTCTCATCATATTCCTATTATTTATATTTTATTTTAGTTTGATTACAATGAAATTGCTGATTTGCTCTTGAAGACTGCCAAATTCCCAGAAATTAGACCTCAGAATCGTTCAGTGATGTATACACTTGTGGCCCAGTAAGTTGTGCTCTCACATTTGATTTTACTGTTTTTGCTATTTCTTTTGAATATAGTACATGCTGTCAACAAACTGTATCTGAATACATTAATACTGAAGTACAATACAGTAATGGCTATAAACATTAATTATGGTATATATTTGAAAGTCTTTCTGTATTTGATAAAATACACAAACATGGGGAATTTTCTTTTGTTAAACTTAACTAAAAATACAATGATGTTTAACAGCTAAGTCTGATATAGATTAGTATTCCCCCCATTGTAAAGATAAATGATATGTGTATATATATTTTTATTTCATATGTTTAATGCAACACTATCCAGGTTCCAATATTTTAACAATACTTAATCTTTTATAGTTTTTATTTTTTAACATCTCAATAAAAAAACTAAACAAAGAAAAGTACCAATTTATTAATAGGTAAATATTGGGTTGGGCGCTTAACTTACATTAAGTTCGGAAGTAGGAGTTTCTTCTACGAGTTTGTTTCTTTTAAGAAAATTGTATCATTAGTGGATCAAAACTTTTTTATGGGTTGGCTGTATTATTTGAAATAAAGATTTAGCAACAAGTTTTGTAGTTTATTAGTTGTGTAGCTTCTGAAAATGGGTAATAGTTTTGATGAATTATAAAAACTAATTATTTTATAATGTATAAAAGAGTATGGCTTAGTGGTTGCATGCCAGGCTGTGGATCGAAAGGTTCAAGGTTTGAGAGGTAATGCTGCTGAACACATTCTGAACTTTTACTTGTGGACACATTGAACAAGAAAAGAGGATTGATGGTCACTTTGCTAAAGAGATCAACAAAGCCTGTATAATGGTGGGTGCTGTTGACTGCCTGTCTTCCATCTGGCCAGTGGTTCAAAGTTATGGATCTCTGATGTATCCATTTAGTGGATAAGTTTCTGTTTAAAATATAAAATGAAGTTTAATTAGCTCATTAGATCACCATCAGATTCAGGTTCTGTTGATATTAGTAGCACTTGAGCCAGTGTTTAAAGAAAAAAATAATTTAATGAAAACTAACAAATGCATAATTAGAAAAAACTGTAAAGATGGATTTGTATTATATGCAATACATTAAAACTTTACAGATGGGATTGTTATTTATGTATTTTTTATCAGTTTCATTTCATATACCATGCTTTATTTCCTTCTCTCAGTCAAATAATTAATCTCTTTTTTCATTATAAGTTTTCTCACTGCTCAGTGAAAATGTCTGCATTTTTTCTTAAAGAAGACTTTAGAAGCAATCTGTACACAAATGTACCCAAAAAACACTGATGTACTGTTTTTTCCTTTACAGTCTAATAAAACAACTGGCTTTAACATACCTACCTACCTTTCACATTTGTTTGGCATTTTACATCACTGCTATCTTGAAAAGACATAATAATCAGGTGTATTTTGCGAGCTATGATTTCAAAATTTTCATTTTCTAGAGGAGGAGGAAGAAAAAACTCAACCTCTTCAAAAGCTGTTGCCATGTTTTCCATTTGTTTATTTTTGAGTTTTATAAAATCCTTTTAATCAACCTGAGTTTTGTGCATTTGCTCAAGACATTTTAGTATTTTGAATTTTTATATGCAAAGGGTTTCTTTGCACCTTTAAGATTTTTTTTCTTGGCCTTAAATTAAAATTCTTAAAAGAAAAATACTTGTTAAAAATTTAGGGATTAGATTTAACTTTGGGATTTATGTAGCTTTGGTTGAACTTGTATATTTGATGAGATTTAAAACTCAGTTAAGTGTTTTTAGGTGTGTATAGAATGCAGATTAACTTTTTCGATCATTGTCAAGTTTAATTTTTTTTTTTTTTTTTTTTTTAGATTTAGAGACCTAGAGCAAGGAATTTATCCCCTTGAGAGAACCGAAGACAGTGGAAGTGACCTTGACCTTACAAAGGAGGATATTAAAGATGCTCTCAGGTCTTTAAGACTTGAAGAAGAAAATGTCAGGAAAGAAAATTTTGCTTGGAAAGTCAAAGAAAGAAAATTGAAAAAACTTAATAAACGACAACCAAACGATAAAATTGGAAATGATGAGAAGGAAGAAGAGAACATACCTTTAGAAGAAAGGCTGTCTGATAATATGACTGTAACTTGTAATGAAGAAAGTTTATCTGAAACTGTTATGAATCAAACAGAATCACTTTCAAAAATTAATTGTAAGAAAAGAAAACTGGGTGGAACTGAAGATGAAGCTAAATCGATTGTTGTACCTAAAAATTTTCGAAAGAGAAAAGCAATAAAGAAAGAGAAAGGAAAAACACGAGAGAAAAAATTTATAGGAGAGAAGAGTTGTGTGGGAAGCCAAGATTTATACAAACGGGATAATAGACTGAAGAAAATTGCCCATACACAATTGCCTAATAATTCTTTGCAGAAAAACATAGATCATAATGACAGCTTGAATCATAGTAAAAATGATGAGGACGTTTTTCTTACAGAAAGTGAAAAATACAGTTGGAGAAGTAATGAATCCAAGACAGAAGAACTTGGAAAATCAACAGAATCTGAAGCAAGACTCATAGAATCAAGTTATGTTCCAAACAGTAGTCCTTCAACCAGTTGGAAAACCCAAACATTGAATAAAGGTACTCTAAGGAATGATGAAGAAAAACAAAATAATGAAGACTCAACACCTAAAGTGGATTCTGTTAGTGCACCTTGTCCATTTGCCAGATTTAAAAAAAACTTGCCTAAACATTCAGTATTTTTCAGAAAATCAATCAGTAAGGTTAAGAAAAACATGCCACAGGTAATTCAATTTTTGTCAAATATCAATTTCAGAAACATCTTTATTTTTTTTGCTAAAAATTAGAAATATAGTGTTTAATAGTATGACAATCCAGTTTTTCAAAAGAAATGTCTACCAAAATGGATGGTATTTACTGCCACCTTTAGATATGTTACACATTAACAAGTGTATTATTTTTTATTCCCACATAATTGATTAATTACAATAATTTTGACAAGTTAACACTCCAGGTCCACTGTTTCTAAAATTTCTCTCTTTAGAATGTTTAAATACATAAGTAATACTTGGATTGCACATTATGAATGTTTTCATGCAACCTCCTAAGGCTCATCAAGATTTTCTTTACTGTGTTATTCCTGGCTCATCCCACACTATTGTGTGACACCTTAGAAATTTCCAACAATTTTTTCTATTTGTTTAAATTTTTTTCTTGAGAAAAAGAAGAGCGAACTTATTTTACTTCACTGTATGTAGTGTATAAAAGTTTGTTTCAAGTTTTTGTTGGAGAAACTGGTAGAAACCTTACAACTGAAGCTAATGAACTTTGTCACTTACCCTCACATTTTATTGATGTTGAACTAACACTAGCCACAATTAAGATAAATGTGTGTGTGCGCACTTTAGGTGAAAAAGTTAATGTAGAGAAACTTAAAATTAAGGAACAAACCTTTTATCAGTAAATACATAGTATTTCTTTTTTTGGAATAATTTTTATTAATTAAACATAGCACTTCTGGTAGCTTTAAGATATATGGGTTTTTTAAGTCATTTTTGATTCACAGATATTTTTAATTTTACCTTTGGTAAAAAAGAAATTAATATATATATATAAACCATCTAGAATGTTTTTTTAGATTTCAATAAACTTACTGTATTCTAATAGAGAATAATTTGTGTAAATTCTACATTAAATGTTTGTGTACTTATATACTTTTAGCTTTCAGTGGAGAATATAACTAGTTTGTTTATTCAAGAAAGTGTGAGAGGCACCTGAATGTTTATGTTGTGCCTACCTCCATGTTAGTGTAGGTGTGTGGGGGTTAATTGTATAAATGTAGCACATGTAAGGTATAGTTTAAATTAACATTTTGGAATGGAATAAGTTATTTTGCTTGTTTTTCCATTGTTATACTAACATGATGATCTATAATATGTGACCATATACCTTTGATTAGATACGGTGTGGAAGTAATAAGTTCTCATGGGAGTAAGCTATATACTAGGTTACCGAATTGCGAACAGTGAATGTAAGGAAATGCTGTGAGAAGTAAATAGTCTTAATTTACATGCATGCTAAATGCAAGAGGAATTCCATTAGAAGTTGTGCTTGTAGAAGAGGTGAATATCCCTTCTTTTAGTTCTAAAATATTAATATATTCTTAATAATTGTCTTAAAAAATCATGAACAGTTTGTTTCTTTGCAAGTAATTTTCTCTAGATAGGTGTTTTTTCATCTTCTAAAATTTATATTCTTTGACCATGTAGGCTAGTGTTCTAAAGTCACTTGAAAATTGCAGTTATTAGAGTTGTATATTCATTTATACTGTATCATTGCAATAGAAAGCTTGTATTAAGATCTTTGTCGTACACTATTTCAGAAATTAAGTAAAGCATCAAAACCTAAGCAGATTCATAGAGATGGTAAAAAAAGTGAACTTTCTTCTATCCAGAAATAAAACTCAAGGTGAGTATTTAGTGAAACTTTACAGTCAGTATTGGTTAGTACGTTTAAAATATCTAGTCTTATTATGATACTTTTATTAATAGAGATTGTTTTGCATTGTTAACTGAATATATGGATTTGGGATTTTTAAACCTAATACTCCTAAGATGGCCAAACCTTGTGAAATATTCAGATTAAGTCCAGATCTATTGTTAACAGCAAGGGTACTAAACTGATAAAACAATACATTTTATCCTTTATAGATAAAAACATAAAGTATATCTATCTATGTTAACTGAATATATGGATTTGGGACTTTTAAACCTAATACTCCTAAGATGGCCAAACCTTGTGAAATATTCAGATTAAGTCCAGATCTATTGTTAACAGCAAGGGTACTAAACTGATAAAACAATACATTTTATCCTTATAGATAAAAACATAAAGTATATCTGTGTTAACTGAATATATGGATTTGGGACTTTTAAACCTAATATTCCTAAGATGGCCAAACCTTGTGAAATATTCAGATTAAGTCCAGATCTACTGTTAACAGCAAGGGTACTAAACTGATGAAACAATACATTTTATCCTTTATAGATAAGAACATAAAGTATATCTAATTAGCTGTATTCTTTACAAGGTTGATTTTTAGTTTTGTTCTTAAGTAGGTAGCTTGCTCTGATTCTAAGTTAATACTGTAAAGACCTTTAACTTTTAGTGAGTCATTTTTTTTTTCATACAGCATTGTCAATGTTGCTATTCATTTTATCTGTTGTTAGAATTTTACCGAATTACATAAATTGGGGAAAATTGTTATATGTATTAGCAGATGAGCAATGGAAGGCTTTTACATAAGCATTTTAAAAAAGATGTTCTTTTCACTATTCACATTTTCCCCCAGTTTATGGAGTATGATAATAATAATCAATAAATTTTTTGGTTCAAGTTATGGAGTAGTTTTGTGGAATGATAGAGATGAGATGTTAGTATTACTAATGGTATAATTATTCAGACTATTATTCTCATCAGGTGTTATATCAGACATTTTTTATGCATCACAACCAGAAAGCTTTTTTTGTGCAATTACTAGGATTCGAATATAGGATACAGGCACTCTAACCACTTGGCTATCAGGAGGACACTTTTGACATGTTTTGGAAGTACCTCTATTTTTTATCTCTAGTACCTTTTGTCCAAATGTTTTCATAATACTGGGAGCCATATCAATGTGACCAGAAAATTCACTGGTCGAGACATTGTAAAAATAATAATACACATAATGAAGATGAAAGTGATAATCCGAATAATTATACCATTAGTAAGTTACACAGCAGTTTTGAAATAAGTTCTCCATCACACATGGTTTGACTAGTTACCCCAAAAATTGAATGATAATAATTAGCTTTTAAAATTTTAACCATTTAATTGTTTTATGGGCAGCATTATTTATAATATTTGAACTTTAGTTTTCTGATAGTTGAGATCTACTAAACATCTTTTGTAGACAAACTATTAAAGCAGATTTCAGAAACCAAATTGTAGAAAAGTGTTTTGGTTTAGAATTTTGTTAATAATTGAACAGTTGATGTAGCTTTTATGCAAACTTAAAATTTATCTAAATTCTTTTAATATTTATGGATTTAAAAATGCTTGATAAAGCCTTTTGTCCACTATGTTTATTAGCCGAATACCCTATCTACATTTAAAGTATTTTACTGAATGGAACATGTTCAGTTTGTAATCAAATTTGAGATCATAATCTACAAGGAAAATAACTAATAAATATTCATTCAAACATTTTAAAGATAAGACAAGTAGAATAATTGGAGTGGTGAACCATGGAGAAGATAGGGTTAGTTAGCATTATATTAAAAGTTCCAAGGGTTTCATGGTTTATTTCTTCCAGTGGGAAAATAACTAAAAGCTGTGGTTATACTTTCAAGATGATAAAATATAGTAATTTAGCCGTAACTTAAAATAGCTCACTGCTATCAAAACAGTGAGTAACCTGACATTACTCTTATTATGTTTTAGCTTGAAAGTTTATTGATTTAATAAATATTAAGCAAGTCTTTCCATCATTATTAAATTAAATAAATCTATTGGGTATCTTGATTTACATATTGAAAATGGTAAAAATTATTGTTCAAATTAGGAAATTAAAAGGCTATTTCATAGTTCAGACTGAGTATGACAACATATAAATATGGAAGTAATGGGAACATTTGTAGTTAGGCCTAAATTACTGAATCTTTAAACTTAACACTTCCACTAACAATTTTTAGTTCTTTAGCAGTGCTCAAAATTGGGAGTGAAAATTTTGTGGAGGAGTCTCTTTCATATGGCAGAGTATAGACTGTGTGAAAGTGCATGATTTTCATCATTGTGAAAATAGCTTAAATGCTGAAGGAAATGTTTAGTGGGATATTTGTTACACATTAATAATTATAGTAGTATGTTATATAAACCAAAGTTTGATGTTTATGAAATTTACTGTTTTAAAAAATTATATTGCTCATTTATACAATGTACTGCTTAGTTTTACATAGCTGTGAATTTTCATGAATTGAAATTGTGAACATGTTTTATTGTAGATTATAAAACTATCATTATATACTTCTATGCAAATTTTAAATTTTACATGTTTCAACAAGTTTCTCTAAAAATTATTTGAAGAGTACTAATTCAGAGCAACTTTGCAAAATCCCAAAGCTCAGACACTGCTTTTTAGCTGTAAAAAATGTAATTTTGTTTTCTCATTGAATTGAAGCATAATAATTAGTATGTGTAGGTTTGTTTCTCAACAGGATAATTTATTAGCTATTGAATACAGCATCTTATAAGTTTGTATAGAGTTTTGCAATATTTAGCTCATTTGAGTTTATGGTTAAGAAAAATTTTATTCTGTTACCTTACTAAAGCAGGAGGACAATATTTTAAGTGGCATGTTAATGAGTTCATTGAATTAAGTAGTGTTTTAACATCTGCTTCTTCCTATAGCTTGTAAAGAAACCACAAGAACAAGTATAGATTTCTCAAAAACTTAAGTTATTTGAAAAATGTTAATTGTCATAAAAGTACTTCATAAACTAACTGTTTGTTGTGTTTTTCTTATATAAAGTGGTTTCCATACTTCTTGCAACACTTCTTAAGCTATGAGAAATTATTATAATAATGATTTGTAACAAATTAAAAACTGGGTGTATTTACAACCCAGAATACACCTGGCTTATGAGTCTGTATTTTGAAACAATGTTTCAAATCTATCTTCCTTCCTTAAAATTTGTGGAAAACAATTCTTGCTACAGTAGAATTACAAGTTTACAGAAAGTGAAATAAATTACTACTTTTGTTAGTATATTCAAGCACCAACTCTATCCTGCTTTTTTTTTTTAGAATTTTTAGAGAACAACTTAAGTTAGCTGTTAATAGACATGTGTAAGTCATAGGATTAAGTTACTTTAACTTTAAATACAACTATTCTTATGTGAATGTAAAAATGTAAGATTTTGATTCCTAAATACATGAAGTATCTATTTGAGTGGTACCGAAGAGGGTGATTACATTATACTAAACCAATTTTGAATATATTAACTAAAGTCACATTCTAACTACAGCCAATATAAAGTCACAATAGTAGGGTATGTATTACAACTGCAATTTAGGGAAGGTTATACGACAGCCCTTTTTGACATGAAATATTTATACACTCGGAACATAACCAGAAGTTTCTCAGATGGGTGTGGCCTTTGTTGATAATGGAATTGGAAAACACAGGAATATGGATGAACTTAGGGCCAGGCCGATCCAAAAAAATACTGTTATGGTAAGAATTTTGTAGTATGCAAAAGCCCTCCACATGTCCCAAGTAACAGCACACAACATAAAAAGGATCTTTATCTGGAAATGAGGCTAACAGGGTATGGGTTCACCAAGAGAACTTCTTGTCATACCTCACATTCAACCATTCCCTACCTCAAACAGCTAGAGATTGAAATAGGTGCCCATGCTTTTTCGTACAAAAAAATACTGGCCGTGTTGCGTATGGTTCTCTGTGCAATTTGATTGTTAATGATGGCCGAGACACTGCCTTAAGTAGTGGTGCACCGTGGATATCATAGCCTTATGCTGGAGCCTCTTGTTGCACTGAAAATTATGCAGCTGGGCTATTGTAAATATAACGATTTTGGGATAAGACCTTTTCTATAAGTTTTTCATTAATAGTTGTTGTGGAATTATAGTAAATTTATCTAATCTTTAGGTTTTCCTTTTACTTGTGTGATAAGAGAATGAATTTAAAGTTTTTGTTATTTCAGATCCAGGAGAATACTTACAAAATGTAAGAAACAGTCCATCTATTCCATTTGATGCTTCCAAAAGACCTTCTCAAGGAGTCTTAAAGAAAGCACTACATTCCAAGAAAAAAACTAAGTAGTTTCTTCAGTGGCATCTTCATACCAACAGCATGGACACACAGAAAAAATGTTTTCTTCTAGTTTTAGTGATATAAATAGATTTACCAGTTTATCACTGTGTATGAAAAAGTAAATTTTTTTTTCAAGTAGCAAGTAATAAAACATGGAAGCTTTTGTGAAACTTGTGCTTCTAAGTTGAAAGAACACTTTCTCAAGTATACAGCATTTTATCATAAAATTAAAATAAACAAAATAGCATTTAACTCTATATTTTGGCAAGCTTTTATTGACAAAAAACAAAAACAAAAAAAACTTCTTTATAAAAGATATGTCTAAATGAAAGGTCATTTGCATAACTTCCTAAATTAATATAAAAAGTTTGCAGTAAAATTTAATAAAAATTTCTCTACCCTAACATTATATGAATTCGCATTTGACTTGCTTCCTACCCATCAGATACACACAAAAAAATCTAAATTACCCTTTGTTTTTTGCTAAAATGATAGAATATTTTAACAGAAAATTACAGTTACTTATCCTTAACAGTTAACATGTTATTTAATTTTTTTGCTCTCTGAACCATGTTTAACTAGCTCAAATAATGATATTGAATTACCTAATGCACAAGCTTCTTCTGCACATACCAAGTTGAAAAATCTCTTAAGTTTAATTTTTACTGTTATTTTTTTTGTAGCTGAAGACTCAAAGTATAATGAAAGTTAATCCTAAATTTCTGCTGGAGCTTTTGTCACTATTTCACTGAATTTTTATTTCAAATATTCAGCTTAGAACACAACATTAACATGCACAAAGCATACACTGTATGAGTATGTAAAAATAATTCACTAGGTTAGTCAAGATGAATTCTTTGATAGCAATTTTGAATCTGTACACCAGATAAATTGACAGCTGTCATGAGAACAAATTAGCAGCCTCGGAGGTAAGTCAGTGGGCTTATAACACTAAACTTTGGGCTTCAGTACCTGTGAGAGCAGAGAACAGATAGTCAATTATGTAGCTTTGTGTTTTGAAACAAGCAAACTAGCTAGCTAGCATTATATGTAAATCACAAAATTAAAACCTTTCACTATTTATTGGTTATAAATAATTTCATAGCAAACTTAACAGAGAATTTGACATTTTTTTGAAAAGTAGTATGTGACAGGAGGGCATGGAACAAGGACTTGACTTTCTATAAATCAAGATGACTGGAGGCTATAAGATTAGATTATGTATTAAAGCTCAGATATGGGTGGAAATATTTAAGAGGACTATTCAGAGTAAAAAATTGTCACATGATATATAGAAGTGAAGTTTGAGAATTTATTTCAACTTTTCCTTTTGAAATTAAAACTTACATAATATTAAAAGTGATAAATTAAAAACTTATTACATACCTTTTACAGCCAAGTTTATTGACATACATTTATAGTAAAGTAACTTAATTAAATTTTGGATGTAACTCTGTAAAAAGGTCATAACATGCACACTTACTTACCCATATCCAGAGGGTTAAAATTACATTTTTCTTGCCTGAAAATGTATTTATGATAAATACTCACCTTTCACACAATTAAGCTATCTTTCCCATGCCACAAGTCTTTAGTCAACTTCGACCTAATTTCATAACATTTCTCATGAATTTCACTACTGCATAATGACGTTATTATGGGGCGAATGTTCTCCTCCAATAGGAGGGTGACACACACCTCCTTTCACATTAGCTCCCTCTATGCTTCATTAAAGAATGAAGCAAGGAATACTAAGGTGTGAGAGAGGTGAATATTTATCAGAAATACATTTTCAGGTAAGAAAAATGTTAATTTTGAAGAAATACATACCTCTTCACACAAGCTAGAATCCCACAATGAAGTGCTGGAAGGGTCAATGCAAGTTTTCCTTAGATGAGTGTCCTTCACAAAGCACCTCAAGGAAACGTAGTGTGAGACACCCAATGACAGGAGAGCCATAGGGGCACACTTGTGGGAGTGCACATATCATCTCTTCCAGGGTATACTCTTTCCCCTGGAAGAAGGGAGGAAGAGGCAAATGAGTCTTATGTGTCGCACGAATGTACAGAATCAAAACATTACCATCTGAGTACTTTAACACAAGAGGTCAAAGAGCCAACATGGGTAGTGTGTTCAGACCGTACCTTATGTCCACCTCAACTCTACTGTTAGACTATTGGAGCAACACCTGCTGCAAGACGAGGGCACCAAATTATGTGTGCACACCTCCACTTGACTAAACAGACATCAGTTGCAGGAGGATGGCAGCTTATTAGTGCCTGCTCACTTTACTCAACTGAATGGGTGATGTCCACAAGAGGGTGCATATGATTAAATGCATCACATTTAAACTGTTACTATATAGTTAGTAAAGCTAAAAAAAATTTAGCATTCTTAAAAGTTAAAGTGATTAGAAACTTTTTTTTTGGATAAACATGAAGCTATACTTTTTCAGTTTCCTTTCTTCCACCTTGTGATAAATATCTTCTTAAAAGATAACCCAGTTCTTTTAAGGAATGTTCACATGTATCAGTATATGTAAAAAGACACTTCTATCTACGACTATTACACATCAATTCAAGCAAAGCAGTGTTGTCAGTAAGATGTGTGTGTACAAAAATATATATGATATCTGTATCACACAAGAATCTGGAGAGAATTAACCACTACATACTTATTCAGATAGGGCCAAGTTTCCCAAATTTCATTTGCCATACACATTACCTAGTTACAGTCATTACTAAAACAAGTTTTTAGGTAGTTTTAATCTTCAAACAACTGATAAAACCTAAGAAACCATTAGTACAGTAAAAAAAAATTCCCCAGCCACACCATCCATGGGAAGGTACAGAAATATCAAAGAATATTATTGACAGTGTGTGACTAGCAAAAGGATAAGATCATTTCAGTTGGAAGCCAATTATTCTCATGTTATAAGTTGATATGAGATAATTTTTTTCTAACTATTCCTGAAGAAGCAAGGTTTACTTCTCTAAACCAAATGAGAAATAAACATCTTAACCTTTCTTTTTCTGAGAACAATCACTATGTATGTGTACTAGCAATTTAGTATCCAAACAGCTTCCTAACAACTGATGTCTATTAAGTAGTTTCATCAATTATACACATGAGCCAACAAAATTATATTAATTATATCAGTAGATAATATTGCTCTCATTAATTTAAATTACATAAAAATTAGTTTTATCCACATAAAGTTGGTACTTAAACTGAGCAAAAATAAATGTCTTCATTCTCTGTCCATTATAATAATACTCAGGTTTTGTCTTTTTTGAAAATGCATGTACACTTCATATCAATGGCTGTAAACATACTTTAGTAGACATATTATTGTATAACATATTAAAAGCTTATCATAGTTTTAAAAAGGTCTAATGTTAGGTTGTAGAATAACATTTTAAGTTTATTTATTGATAGTACTAAGTACTGTAAGGTTTAGCCCCAACTAAACGAAAGCAAAAAATATACACAAATTACAGAGTTAATTTATTTCTCTACTGAATATCAGGTCATACTTAAAAAAGGCTTAACTAATGTTAGGCCTAAGACAAGCAAAACAGATTTCAGTGTCTGCAATTAGAATTATTTTGTATTATTCTAGAAATCCTGTAGTTAAACAAATACTGTTCAATAAAGATACTAACTTGACCACAAATGTTTGACAGGTCTCTACTAATACATGTATTGACGTGTCTATATTTTTTTTGCTGTCAGGGTACCAATGAAAACTCCAATCATGTATGCTCGGAACCTTTTTTTTAATCTATTATAGATGCAATCAACACAACTTAAGAAGGAAACATCACAATGTATACTTGTGACTTAATCTTATACAAGAAACATCTCAATCTATCTCCTATACATTTCACAGACTTACTTCAAATATAATATATATAATTTAATTCTACAATGTACGTTTTCCAGCTAATCAACTTAGGTAAGAAAAATGTTCCTCCAGAATGTCTGCATCATAGAAGTTTATATTCTTATAGAAGTTACAGATACATTACAATTTGTAAAAAATCTAAATATAAGATAGCATATCCCTACACTGAAAATGTATTTCTGATAGATACTTACTTCTCTCTCACAAAATAGCTTTTCTCAACTAGCACTGCCCTCTATCGGCTCATATTTCAATGCACACCATTGGCCTTCCACCTCCTGCTTCTGCATATCCACATGCAGCTACTCTCCACCAATAGGAGCACAATACCACTCGCATCGTAACCAATGCCCTCTTCACATCTGCACTCGTTAATCACTTTGAGATTGATCAGAATACCTATATCATATATCATTGGAAGTGGGGAGGCTGTGTGGGAAATGTGAGAAGAGGTAAGCATCCATCAAAAATACATTTTCAGTGTAGGAAAATGCTAACTTCTGATAAGATATCTTACCTCCTCTCACAAAATAGCTAGAATCCCAAGAGGGCTGATGAAAAAAAAAAGATCCCCCCTTTACGAAGTGCCCAAAGAAGGCCCAAGAGGTATTGAACCAAATGACAAAACATCCACACCTCATATGATCCAAGTATGCTCTTCACTCTTTTATGATAATGTCATGAACACAGAAGGCAAAAAAAACAAAAAAAACAGATAGGAATCCCAGAACATGTAGGACAGATGAATGGTACTCCTGGGTGTTGAGTGTCTAGGGCATGACAGTAGTGGTAGTTCGACTCATCCAACACCAGGTGGTACCTGGAATGGTTTGTTTTTGAATTTCACGCAAAGCTACACGAGGGCTATCTGCGCTAGTCATCACCACCAACTGCCAACTCTTGGGCTACTCTTTTACCAACGAATAGTGGGACTGACCGTCACATTATAATGCCCCCCACGGCTGAAAGGTTGAGCATGTTTGGTGGGATGGGGATTCGAATCCGCGACCCTCAGATTGCGAGTCGAGTGTTTTATCCACCTGGCCATGCCTGGAATGGTATATCAGATCCGTGGTAGGTAGAGGATCACTTACCTCTTCACCTCAAAATAGGAATTAGTAAGGAAATTGAGCTTCTGTACCAAAATCTGTTTCCACTTGCAAGCACTTCCAACACAACCAACACCAGATTCACTTGGAACCAACATTCAACAGATGGTAGTAAAGTGGAAAACCCCTGTGAGATGACATGTATGGGTCCAACACCTGACAGCAATAGGTATGGTTCTTCCAGTCCGTGGTAGGAGGAGGATATCTGGCCATACACAAGCTGAAAAACGTACTGCATCCAGCTACAAACAACACCAGATCTACCAAGAACTGACATCTAGCATATGGTAGAAATAGGAACTGCAAACCTGAAGTGCATCTCCAGTCCAAAACCTGGCAGCAGTGGGGATTTGTACTCCAGTCCATGGTAGGAGGAGGGATACTGGCCAGCACACACCTGAGGACTTACTAGACCATCTCCAACCAACACTGGACCCACCAGGAATGTAAATGTGGAGGAGGAACATCTCAACCTGAGGGGCAAACTGCAATAATATATTTTTGTGACATGGCAGAGTGCTTCAAACAAAACCTGGCACCATCTGGAATTGTATACGTCAGGTCCACAGTAAGAAGG